CGTTGCAGACATGCCTTCCATTCCCCGTCCGCCCACCCGTAGCATGCCTTATGACTCCTCGAGGCCATCAAAGGCTCCATAGATAGATAGTAAGCATCTACCTACCCTTCTTCTTCTCCGCCTCAGCGTTCTTGAACGGGAAACCAGACGTCCTCTTATCCGCGCCAGTCTTCCTGCTAATCCTGCCGTTGCTGCTCGCAAACAGGATGCACCACAGGGCCACGATGGCCAGGAAACCGGAACCTAGTGTGCCCAAACTGAAGGCCATGACGCCGGTGCGTGTCCACATGGCGTAGCCGTAGAAGGCGAGGGCGGAGTGGAACATGGCGGTTACGGTGAGTGTGGGAAGGGCGTAGGGCGCTTTCGGGTCTTCTTCGTTGGTGGTTGCGCCTGTGGGGTGTTAGTTCCATGTGCAGATGGAAGGGAAATGAAGAGGGGAAAGTACCTTCAGAGAGTCGACTAGACAATGGAACAGACCCCGTGAGCAGGACAGTCAGAATACCCAGGGCGATGAGCGAGAGACCAAGGGTACGGGAGAAGTAGACTTCGAGAGCTGGTCATCCTCGTTAGCACCTCGTTGTATAACATATTTCCCGGTCTTTCGTGTATACGTACTGGAAGCTTCGCGGACTTCGGGGGACAACAATGCTACTATCATGGTTGGGGACGCGATCAGAGGCGCGGCTTGGGTCGCTGTGTTTGTATTAGCAAGCTGCACGGTGTCCTCGTGGAAGGATATAGAGCTTACCCAGCCATGCGGCAGTGCCGTAGGAGTAGAAGTAGTAGACCTAGTCCTCATCATCAGTCTTCGTCCATTACGCAAACACCCATCAACCCTTCTCGCAGCAGCAGCTTTCCACTTACATCCATGATGAAGGAAGTCTTGTAATGTCAATTGAGGTGTTTGTCCGGTTCTCGATATTTTCTCGATGTGTTATAGAGAGGAGTTGCAAGCAAAAATGTTGTTTCGTGAAAGGACTGAGAGGAAGGGTTGAGACGTGGGTCGCGGTGATGCAATAGCGATGTTCCTGGCGGGATTTGCGCAAGCATCCGCGCAGTCGCTACGTCATTGCCGGGCTAACATGGATACCGCGGCACATGGCTGTGCGCTGGTTTGGGAAATCGGGTTTACTTGTTTCCCATGCGTGTTACTGCTTTCGTGGCATCGGGGAAAGTGGTCATGTTCTATTGGTGATGTTTGGGTAGGGCGGGTGAGATTGTGTACGAGTGCGATGGCGTTCGAGGCTGAGCACCTGGATGTATGGAAGATCTGGCATGCAGCTGTCACTCCGCATCTCCATGTTCTTTAGCGAAATCTACCTAGCTGTCTAGCTATGTTGCTGCGACGGTGGACGCGTAGCTACCTTCGCTTCCTAATGGCTCGCAACACCACGAGGCTCGCGCATCCTGCTTCGGCACCCCACGGAACACAGCCCTGGAGTCATCAAGCAGCTGCCGCATCCTGAGTAACAAGCACACGCCGACAATTCGTGTGCGAGGCGACCATCATATACGCCTTCAGAGCTCGACTCCATCTCCGGTAGTAAACCTCGTATCGCTCAATCTAACAACTACCGCACATACAGCTCCCAAAGTCAGCGCCTCCCGCACACTTCCCAAACAGGAAACCCCCAGCAAAACCATCGATTCCAGTCAACGGCTGCCAGACTCCGGCCCGTGGTACCCTCTCCCCACCCATCCCCCATCCCGCCTAGCCACCGCCCATCCAACGGTCAAAATCTACCGCAAGAGGAAAGGAAACAAGAAAACCATCGATGATAGTAGATCCCGCTATCGGGAAAAGATCCACGAACCAGAAGAAGACAGTCTTGGATCGAACAGCCGGGTCTGGAAGCAAGAAGAGTTTGGTTAAAGGGTTGGAGGAGTTTGGTAGCGAGGCAGTCATAGATGCCGAGATGGGAAAGAATGGAGGAAGCTTGGAAAGGTGTGGATGACGGCGGGCGACTGGACACGTCGCCGAAAAAGCAAAAGGGGCTGGCGAGGAGTCTGGGTCGAAGATGTCACGCGACGTGAACGAATGCTGAATGAAGAGTAAGAAGCATTTGGATTGACAACAGCGTATACAAGTCATGTCAGGCTTTCCCACGAGTACAGAGGACTAGCAATATCCAAGTCGCGCATCCACGTCCAGGGCCTTCCAGCATACAGAACAGGCAAATGATGGACACTGCGCACCCTGCATTCTGTTCTACTCCCAGAGACCTCCACCTCCCTCCCATCCCGCGCAAACACTCCAAACCTTGGACCCATCTCCTAATCCCAAGTACCTCACTCCCCACGCGCCCTACCAAACAACCAAACAATCAAACTACCGTAACAGGAAATATTCCACACCCCATAGATTCCAGAAGGCTTGAGGAGAATTACTCGCCTCCGCACTAAGACAAGGCTGAAGACCCTTCCAGACGTTGCAAGTACCATCAAACTTACTCCGACACAAAACAGCCCCGATTAGGCAATACAGCATTACAACCATAGAATGTAGTTCAGGCGTCCCACCTACGAGAGTTTGGAGCTTGCAAACATTTAAATTTGTTTTGGGTTTTGAGTTTGGTTTTTCGGGGTCAGATCATGGACCGCCCGGTCTTGCCAGCGCAGTGCTGCGGTACCAAAGCGCGTACCAAAGTATGTTTTCGAATACGTTCCCGAAAGGGTAGTTTGGAGGTGAAGTGTTGATTCCAGATGGGGAATGTGGCTTGATGTGTGAAGAAGTAAGAAGAGGGCTCTGCTCATTTGATAGGTTTGTCGTTTCTTTTCGTCGGCAGATGGTTGATGTGTTGGGCGTTTGTGTGCCTGAATAGGAAGGAGGAGGGAAAGTATGGATTTCAGTCATGAATCGCATGTGGTATCTCCGGAATGGTGGATGGGCGTGCGCTGTATTGAGGATGTGCTCGGACTGGTTTGAGATGTAAGTATGGAAGTTTGGGGCGCGGTGTGGATGTGGTCCGGTTGTGGAGTTGGTACGTGAAACATAAGCGCGGAGACGCGAAGGTAACGAGAAAACAGAGGCTCTACATTTGTCTAGTACGTGCTTGCTGTTATCGTGGAGTACGAACAATAATGCGACGAGCCTGATCCGAATTGCTGCAGCGAGCGACAGCCTAGACAACTTAATTCTCAAGTGTTCATACATCGGCTTGTGATCTCTTTTGCGCTCTTTTGCGCTTAAGACCTCTTTTTGATTTCGTTGAACTGCCATGAAGACTACTCTGTGTTTCATCACTAGTGGGATTGAATCCCATGCCATAGCCCAGCCCCAGAACATCCAAACTACCCATGCCAACATGTTGCCGATCTCGCAGGTTGATAAAGATCTCCTCCTGGAGACGGCAACCCTTCAACCCCACCAATGCGTCCTTTGCAGTTGTCCTCGCTGTTAAGCAATAGATTAGCATACAATCTGGAAGGAATGGGCTTTGTGTCTTGTGATGATAGAGTAGTAGAGTAAGTGACAACGTACCGAAAGAACCGACATCTATATCCATCATATATCTTGACTCTTGTGACAGGTCCACCAAAGTTTGGCGAACATCCGCCGTTGGCATAAAGATAATGAACGCTAAAGGTGTTGGGAAAGATGCCTGCTATGGCATCCGCCTGCTGCGCGGCTGTGCCTTGGTTGGTGGGCAGACCGTTGGCGATCATTGGCAGGGCGATGAGGGAGAGGAGTGGGAGGGTGGGTAGACGCATGGTCGAACTGTGTGTAGGATGAGGATCTCGAGGAGGAGGAGAAGATGCGTAAGGGCAAACTTGAACTATTGGGTGCGGACGAGGTTTTGTGTGGTAGGAATGGTAGATATAGGTAAAGAGGAAGAGCAGATGATTTTATATAGAGAAAAGGAAGGGAGTAATGACGCAAAGAAGAGTGAACAAAGAGTTTACCCTCATGCATGAATACGGCACAGTCTACTCCATTTTATATGAATCATCGAGCCAGCACATGCATGCATATGTTAGTCGTAAGGATCATTGACATGCCGCATTCTTCGGACGGGTCGGATGGACCTGTTCGATTCGACTGTGATCACAACCTCGTCTGCGGTGAAACCAGAAGAAATGCAGCGAGGTGAAGCACCTGGATAAACCATACAGGTAGATGTCGTAAAATCTTCGATACTACTTGCAGGGTCATTGGGCGGCGATTGGTATTCGTATCAGACATTCGAAGTGTGGATTGTAGCGTCTGCAGCTTTATATATCTTACATGTCTGCGGCTTTCTTTGGCAAAGTCTCCGGTTCCAAGCGGGTCTGAAATCTTCTAAAGGGTAGAACAAGCGGAATTCGTGCGTATATTAGGTGTCGCTTGGTGCACATGCGTGCTCGAAGGATGAACAATCTTTGTTGTGCATGCAGATGCTGGACACTAGGTAGAACGGTGGCGGTTAAATCGTCGCATTCAAAGATGTCGATGGGAAGAACAACCGGCCCGGAACCTGATGTTTGGTCAGTATCGATTGAATTCTACTAGAGAGCTTGGAGGTAAGCTGCGATCTGATCAAGTGATTATGGTGAGCTCGTCATGAGTTCAACGTTGCTGTGCCTACCTACATAGGTAGGTAGCTACGATGGCGGGGTCAAGGTTACGTTCCTGCCCCACCCAACTGCGCTTGCACCCTGGAAGGGTTCAACGGTGCCTCTTTCCTACATGTTCGAGATGACGTGCATATGTGATCCTACGTAGATATATTGGCCTTTGAGTGCTTTCAACTCGTCTCTCATCTCAGCACTGCTTCTCGATTGGGAAGGTAGGTGCGTATCTACGTCATCGCGATAGTTGGGTTCCTGCACTGTGCTGTGGTGAGACTGTATGTTACTGGACGCCTTCAGCTGTATCAATAGTCTGAGTCATCCGTTGTGACGTCCAGGTAGTGATAGGATAACCTTCAGTACTTGTAGAGCGTGTCGCATCCTCCGTGAAATCTTTGTGTCTGTACTCAGCCGGTAACAGTTATACTGCTGGATACCTACACATCACGACCATGCCACTCCAACTGCATCCAATGACCACTGACGATACTTTGTCATGGACACGCGTGCGCGCACTCGCCTACTATGGTCCGACGCACGACCTCCTACACACCGGCCCCATCAGCGAAACATCCATACGCGGTGTGGCTGAGGGCCGCAAGCGCGAGATCAACAAGCCAAACGCGTGGCACTGGAAAGTTGTAGACACAGATCTCGAGCCTAGTTCTGACGACCCACCTGATAACGGCGGACGCACGATCGCGGTGTCAGTATGGAGCATGCACAAGGTCTCAGTGACCAAAGGGGATGAGAAGAACGAAGCACCTTCCATTCCGGTGGAGAAAGCAGATGACACTCCCGGCTTTCTCCCACCAGAATTGCGTCTCGAAGCTCTGGGCTCATTGCTCGGTCCTCTACGAGCCGCTCAGGCTTCCATCATGGGCACGTCGACGCCGTACTTTATGCTGAATTCACTGGCTACGCATCCGGATCATCAGGGTCGCGGAGCTGCGAAGATGATGCTGGACTGGGGGATGCAGAAGGCGGATGAGGAGGGGCTGGTCACGTATTTGGATTCCACGATGACCGGGAGGCCTGTGTACGAGAGGAGGGGGTTTGCGCTGGTGAAGACGCTTGAGTGGGATCGGATGCCGTGGGGAGGAGAGGGCAAGGACTGGCATGGGTGCATGGTTCGGCCAGCGAAGAGCGTGGAGAAGTAGTTGTGTTGTGGAATTACATAGCAGAGATGATAATGCAGGGCGTACCAGGTCGGTGGATAGCCGGCTAGCCGCCCGAAGAGCCGTAGAGCGAATGCGAACGCCCGGCTCGTGGGCTGTCAGACCCCGCAGCCTGCGCCCACGTTGCCGGGAAGCCAGCTGGGACGGTAGAGCGTGCAGATGTCTTTGCAGGTGGCCGTTGAATTTCTCCAGTACCATCCCATTAAATCCTGTCCATCATGAGCGCGGCGGTGACGTATCCATTCCTCTCCAGAAAGCAGCGGGCGCGGCTGGGAACGAGCGCAGGCACTTGCAGCCTTCTCCGCGCCTGATGGCCCAGCCCTGGTAAGAATCCCGGGCGGCGCGGGTTGCAGTGGTCGACTATGATGCACTGGGCAGGGGACATGAGCCCGCCTGGAATCCTCCTACCAAGCCGCCCTCAACCCCATAACATCACAACATAGCCCCGTAGAAGGTATATCTACCAATACACTTATTCACCGCCCGCATGTCCGCGCAGGGCTAATCTTGGGGCATGGGACGCAACGCGCGGAAGCGTATCTCGTACGGTAAGTGTCGGCTCTGCATGCGCCGTTGCGACAAGCTGGAGCTGGAGCTGGAGCTGACCTGGGCGCGCAGTGCTGCCACTGGCCAACTCGGCGGGTGGCCACAGGCTGGGAGTCAATGGCTTGGCCGTCGACCCCCGGAACTCGATCCTCTACTCGGGCGGCCGTGATGGCGTAATCTGCGCCTGGGACCTGCATCTCGACCTCGACCACTCCACTGCCGACGACGACGACCCCTTCGCCGACTCCAACACGGCCGACTCCAAGCCCCCGCCCACGCAGTTCCGCAACCAGGTCCAGGCCCACACCCACTGGATCAACGACATCGTCCTCGCCCAGAACAACGACGCCCTCGTCTCCGCCTCCTCCGACATCACCGTCAAGGTATGGCGACCCGCTGCCACCGACAAGCTGCCCCCGCAGACGATTGGCCTGCACACCGACTACGTCAAGCGCGTCGCATCGCCGGGCGGGAACGAGAACTGGGTAGCTTCGGGCGGCCTGGACCGCAAGATCAGCCTGTGGGACCTCAATGGCGCGGGCAAGAAGCTGGAGATTGCTGTCGGCGAGGATGAGAACACTGCCAAGGGTTCTGTATACGCCCTGGCAGCAACACCCAACCTCATCGCTAGTGGCGGGCCGGAGAGCATCGTCCGCGTGTGGGACGCGAGGTCGGGCAAGCGCATCACCAAGTTTGTCGGACACACGGACAATGTGCGCGATATCCTCCTGGCGCAGGACGGCGACATGATCCTGACGGGCTCGTCCGATCAGACGGTCAAGGTGTGGTCCATGACGGCAGGCCGCTGCATGTATACGCTTACTATGCACAACGACAGCGTCTGGTCTCTGCACTCCGACTCGCCCGAACTCGATGTCTTCTACTCTTCCGACCGCTCTGGCATAGTCGCCAAGAGTGATGTGCGCAACTGCGCCGAGATGGACGAAGGACTCTCGCTAGCAGTGTGTCAGGAGCACGAGGGTGTGAACAAGGTTGTCGCAGCTGGCGACTATATCTGGACGGCAACCTCCAGCTCGAGCATCAACCGGTGGAACGACGTCGAAACCGCGGCCGAGGTCGAGCTTCCAGAATCCTACAAGTGGCATAGGAACAGCGTGTCGACTATGCGATCGCGCATTCCTTCGCCTCCCGCTGGCAGCCCTCCGAAGAACGAAACGTCCAAAATTCCGCTCAAGTCTCTACTGCGCATGTCCAATACCGCGCCATTCCCGCAAGCGCTTGCGACCAAGGATGCCGACACCTCAACTCTAGCCAGCACGCGCAAACCCTCCGAAGTACTAGCGGCTCCCGAACACAGTGCTGTTGGGACTGTCCGGGCACTACCAGACTTTACAATCGAAGGCCAGAACGGACTCATCAAGCATCATTTGCTCAACGATCGGCGAAGAGTCCTCACTCTCGACACTGCGGGAGAGGTGGTTCTGTGGGATCTACTGCAATGCGCACCGATCAAGTCATACGGCAAGAAGCACATGGAAGACGTCGTGCCAGAAGTTAACACCGTGGACACCGTCGCTCACTGGTGCGCTGTCGATACAAGGATAGGGACCTTGACGTGTATGCTTGAAGAGAACTACTGCTTCGATGCCGAGACATACGCAGATGAGCTGGAGCTCGAGGAGCAGATCGACTTCCGGGAAGACCATCGCATAAATCTTGGCAAATGGATATTACGATACCTTTTCTCCAACCTCATTGACGAGGAAATCAAGCGCGATGAGGTCCTGCGGGCAGAGCTGCTCAAACAGAAGGAAGAGCAACCGCAGCCGGGCCGACCAACGAACATCGAGCTGCCGAACATGAACATCAACGGATGGACGGATGCGACTTCAGGGCCTGCTTCAGGCTCGACTATCAGAGCTGACGGAATGCGCTTACCACATACACCAGGTCTTGCTATCGGTCTAGCCACGCCAATGGCAGCACCTATGAGTGCAGGACGCAACTCTACCACCAACCCCTTGACTCCTACCAAGGAAGAGGGCGCACAGCTGGAAAAGACGCAAACCCAACGGAGCTCGACTCAAGAAGGCGGTGACTACTTCGGTTCTGCCTCTGCTGCTAACGGCAACGGAAGTGGAAAAGCCACCGAGGCTTCGAAAGACGGCTCTGCGGACTCAAAAGAGGAGACTGTTCAATCACCTACCGAGGCCGACACGCCAGCTAAGAAGGGCAAAGGCATGTTTGGTAAGAAGTTTAACATGGGCTTTAGCATGAAGAAGTTTAGCACTGGCACAGCCGCTCCAGAGCCAGCCAAACCCGCCGTTGACGAAAAGGCCGAGGACAGCGATGCACACTCCAACAAGACGGATGAAAAGGCTATTGAAGATAATTTCTTCGGCGCTCTTCAACGGATACGGCAGGGTTACGAGGAACAGCTTGCGGCCGGCGCGACCAAGTTGGACACACAGATTGCACCTAGTCTGCCCAACGAAACACCCGTACTCAAACCACCTGCTATGACCACCATTCTGATCCAAGAGGACCGCCCCGATTCCGGCGGTGTAGCCGATCTCTTCGAGGGCAAAGTCGGAACCCTAGGTACCCAAGCCGACCTCATCGAAAAAGCCGCACCAATGTGGCTAGCAGAAGTCCTACTACGAGTTCGTCACCCCAAACATCCAAAGCCCCCTCTCTTTACTAACGCAACCCCCTCACAGAACCAACTCCCGCCCAAAGACATCGTCAAAGTATCCTTCGTGCTTGAACCGTTTAACAACACGCTCCCCTCCATCTCATCCGACGGGTACATTCCCTTTGCCCTCCCCTTCGAAACCGCCGCCAGCGCTAACGCGACTCTCAGTAACAACCGCCTGAATGCAAATAGAATGCTGCGCGCACGCAAGATACTGGGTTATGTGGCTGAGCGCATTGAACCCGCGCCCACCAAGGAGGATCTCGAGAAGTCGGCCGAGAGTGGTGGCGTGCTTAGGCCGGATGAGTATTTGGAGTTGTATTGTAATAATCAGGTAAGTTTTCCGGTGATGTTTTGTTTGTAGGTGGTTGAAGATACATGCTGACCTTTATATTAATAGTTAATCCCGCCAACCATGACACTAGCTAGTATACGCGCGCACATCTGGCGCGGTGGCGGCGATGTCCTCCTCCTCTACAAAGCCAATGGCCGCAAGGAAATCAGACATGCGCCTTACCCTGGACCGCAGTCTGGTGCGCCTCCTGGTCCTATGCATGGATTGAAGGTTGGTGCGGGGTTGAATTCGCAGCCTGGGAGTAGCAATGCGAGTGAGGGGAAGCAGAGCAGTGAGGCGGATAGGAGTACTAAGGATGCTGCGGTTTTTGGACCGTAGGCTGTGTTTGGAATGGGTTTGGAGTGGTTTGTTCGGGAGGTTTGGATATGCAAGGGGATAGGGTTGGCTGGCTGTGTTGCAGCTCAGTTGGAGACATTGGTATTGTTCTTTGGATAAAGACCAGAGGGGGTTGAATAGTGTATATAGCATACCCGCTTGCCAGTAGACTCTTCCCTGAGTCCGTGGCCTCGGCCTCATGCGGCTGAGTAGGATGAACTTAATCCTATACTCTCATTATTGTTCTTCCCTCCTCCACCCTTTCTCCAAAACGTCTCCATGATCAACCATGCCATTCACGCCTCATTCCTCAACCACACCCCCCAACGCATTACTCGCCCACTGATAACTCCCCAAGAAAATCGCTCCCCCAACACTAATCCAACCCACCCTCGGTCCCATCCCCGCGAAAAACGCCCTCGGCCCGCTCTCCCTCATGATCGACGCCAACATCTGCATCATAGGCTGTTTCTCCCTCGCAAGCATCATCCTCGTCTTGAGCACATCCAACGGCGTCGTGACCCCCGCCGCCACAGCCCCCGCCACACTCCCCAGCAAACCCCCTTCCAGACCCGTTACCTCGCTCCGCCCTGTCCGGCTCATCCGCCACTTTTTCAGCGCTTCCCAGAGCGGGAATTGGATTACGGTGAAGGGCACTTCGCGGATTATGGTTATTGACCAGCCGCGGTAGAGTTCCATCCAGACGTGTGCGAGACCGTGGGTGTGGCGCTGGCGCAGGATGAAGGTGAGCGCGGAGAGGGAGGAGGGGTGTTGGGATGCTTGGGCGCGTTGTTTTATTACTTCCGTAGGCACACGCACCGCGCACGCAGCAACCTCCCCTGCACTCGCGGCTGCCATGTGTACCAGTGCTTCTGTCCCACTGTCCCTCACATCTTCTTTGTACGGTTTGCCCTCCGCGTTATACCGTACGGTGGTTGTAGCGAGACTCTGGCTCTGGGCGAAGGTGCGTTTTATCGTGTCGTAGGTTATGAAGAAGAGGGCGGCGCCGGGCGCGGACCCGACGATTGCGCTGCCGACGCCGCGGTAGATGCCGTTGAAGCCGCCGCTGGCGGCGAAGCCGGAGGCGGATTGGAGGCGTGTTTTTAGCGTGTCGAGGGGGTAGAGGGATAGGTCGACTGTTGTGCCTGCTAGGCCGCCTGCCTGGGGTGGGTGTTAGTTTTGTGTGGATTTGTTTGAGTGGGTGGGTAAGTGGATTGCTGAGTGTAGGAGATAGAGGAGATGTAGAGATGCAAATGAATTGCTACTGTTGTACATAGGTTCTCGAGGACGTTTGCAGCAGTAGCTTCGCCATGGCAATGGAAGATACAGATGATGCGGTTTAAGCAGATATCGGGAGAGGGAGAGCCATTGGAAAACAATTTTCTGGGAGGTGAAAGCTTTGATTACTTACTATGAGCGACCTCAAGTATGGCGACTCAACCCATGCTTGTGGTGGTTGTGCGCGTGAGGAGTCGAGCATGGTGGGAAAGTAATTCGGCGGGCCATGACGATGATGTTCGAGATGGTTGCAGAGGGTGGAACGGAGGGTCTGTGCGCAAGCTAGTGGACTGTCTACTTCTTTCGTCCTGATCAGGCGGCTACCTTGGTCACTTAGATGTTTTCCTAACTAATACACAAGTTACTGACAACACTGTTCTTTTTCGTTCCGTGTTGAAAGTGGTATTCGCGGAAAGAAGATGGCGCGTTGAAAGAATGTCTGCTTCGGCTATGAACGTAAGATGTCTGGCTAGCACAAGGATTTCGAGATGCGATGCGCAAGAGAAGGAACGAGAGGAGGACAGGGATGAATGCCGGAGTTCTGCTGAGTCGAATGAGGTGGGCGAGGCGGAGGTGGTGATGGCTAGCCACGAGGAGGCATTACATCAGTCCCAGGAAGACGAACCGGAAGACAAGAACAACAAAGACGTTTCGGACGGCCAATACTCTCGAAGATCATCGCTTTCATCTTCCCAATCGGAATCGGAATCGGAATCAGAAGATGATAGCGACTCTGGTAGCTCTGATCATTTGGTGGATGCCAAACCGTACACGAGCTGCATACAAGAGGCTCAGCTTTCACCGGATGGTAGCTGCGTTTTCACGTCGGATTACAGCCGTCAATTTTCAGTGTATCCCATCTCCAACAATATTCTGACCCAGACCAGCCCTCAGCCTCTCACGCCCTACGCGTCTCTTCGCTCTGCCGATCCTATTTGGGCTTTTGCTATCAACCCACTCTTCAATTTACAGGACGCTAGCAGTACGACTGTGCTCATTAGTCGACGGGATGCCTACATCAGTCTGCATAACGCCTTATGGCCTACCTCACAGAAACACAGCGAAGACAATCCAACCTCAGGGCCAGTAGACATATCCACCCCTCTAGCATCCTACAAACTCATCAACAATCTGACTGAAGCCGTCATCGCACCCCTCAGCCTCGCCTACTCCACCACCGGCACACATTTCTTCGCCGGCTCGAAAGATGAAATCTCAATCTTTGACCTCCTCGAAACCGACAAACCAATCCATACAATTCGTACCATACCCGCCAAACGCAACAAACTCAAAGGCGGAGGTCGCGGCTTCAAAGGCCAAATTTCCGCTCTATCCCTCTCACCCCCTTCCCACACGTCACACGACGGCATCCTAGCAGCTGGCTCCCGCACCCGCTATATCGGTATCTACGACCCCATCGGCGGCGCCGAAGTGACACATTTCTCCCTCCCAGGCACAATAAACGGCATCAAATTCCGCAACGAAAACCTCCAAAGCGTCATGGGCGACGGCGTCACATCCCTCAAATGGAGCCCATGCGGCAAATACCTCTACGCCGCAGAACGCAGTTCAGACGTCCTTCTCATCTACGACGTCCGCAACTTCTCGCTCACCCTGGGGTACTGTGCGGGTCGCCAAGCGCTCACTCGTCAGAAACTGGGCTTTGATGTTTGGAATGCGGGACAGAGCCCGTATGATGTCGAGGGGGTTTCTCATGAGGTTTGGGCAGGCGGGACGGATGGGAAAGTGAGGGTTTGGAGGGATCCGTATAGGAGGGAGGGGGCTGTACAGGCTGATGAGGTGGTTGAGGTCGGGGATGGGAAGGCGCCTGTTGTAGGGAGTCTTGTTCATGCTTCGGGGAGTCTGGCGGTTGCGGCTTGTGGGAGGGTTGGGTTGGGAGGTGACATGGAAGAGGGGGCGAGGAGGGGCGGAGGTACTAGGCCCGTGGTGAGAGAGTGGGGGAGTTTGGATATCTTGGGGCTGGGCTGAGATGTTGCTCTCGGAGATGCTGAGACGTCGGAGGTTCATGAGGTTCAGGAAGTGTTGGTAATGATATTCGTCTACCTGCCTCTGACGCGAAAATGGCGCATGGGCTGCAAAGGTCCATGAGCAGAGAGACACGATCTTCAGACGTCCGAGGAGCTTCAGCAGCAGGTCTAAAGTACGAAGGCTAACCATGTGTCAAGAATAGCAACTTCTTGATCGTGTTCCAGTATGCCTGGGCATATCACATGTTCACAGACCACGCCACACAACTACATGACGGAAATCTCCTCGCTCCTCGCTTCCTTTATCCAGACGACCGACGCCACCCTATCCAAACCCCGATTCTCGTCATCACTGTTCCGCAATCTGAGCTCGCCTTTTGAGGCATCGCAAGATCTTCGCTGTATTAACGGCGTGCTTCTATCTACTCTCTCACCGCCACACGAGCACTACTGGGTACCAGTCTGCCGGTCCACACACATACCCGCTACCCCTTCAAGGTCTAGAAGACCTCGGGGTATAGCCGGAGTAAGGAGTGCAAGCGCGATTCCCATGTGGAAGTCGTCCGCTAATTGAATTGCTCGCTGGATGTTGTTACTATTGTTCGTTGAATGTGCATGGGTTTAAAACGCAGGTACGGCGCAGCTAAGCAACACGCTAGTTATTGCAATGCTTGTGTATTTACTAAATACGTTCGTCCACGGTGTGAAATAATATACGTCTTTAATAAGTTTTGGTTATTGAAATTAAGCAATGAGTTGGACATTTCTTACAGATACAACCTTGGGCGAGGTGTCCTTCACTGTAGGTTTGATCATTCAGCTCAGCTGTTCATGCTTCCTCCACGATAAACATGGAGTGCGGCTAGGAACAACATATGCCAGACACATACACATACATGTAAGTTTTCAGATCTACCAGCTCTTGAGTAGAATTCTGTATTGGTCCGTGTTGTGCTGCTGTGGGTAAATACACAAAAGGCCTATGCGAAGACCAACCGACCCACTGTGCGCGAGATCTTCTTGTTGTATCCTCATCTTTATTACAAGAACAATAGTAGGATAAAATGGTTCTACGACTTCGCCATTTCCAACAAAAGTAAGGGCGTGCCTGTACGTTGGGGCACATCAGACGATCCAGACTGTGCCGGAATCACACATGGTAGTATCACCATCTCTCACCGTGCATCTATCGCTGAGGTTCTCTTACGCACTCTCTCGCTGTCTATATAAACTACCTTCTCTCTGTCGTTAGACATAGTATCATCGAACACTCCGATCACTCCATCTTACTCTACACCACCTCTCGCTCCCAAGCTATCCACAAAAAGACCAACCATGCATCTCGCTGCCCTCCTCTCCCTCGTTGCTCTCCCATTTCTAGCGAGCGGCCTTCCAACCGCCGAGGCAGAGGCCACGCATCTGGTCCCCCGTGCTTCCGACGCCGGCTACATCTACTATGAACCAGGCGGTATACCCGATCATCTAAGTCATAGAGCCCCCCTGATAGCCAACGGTGGTTGTTCGCCAAACTTTCCTGGACAGGCCAGTACCTGCACAGTTTTTGCAGGCTATAGATGCCGTTTCTTCCGGTAAGTTATCATCGTGCTATGCGCTATGCTACGCGGCTGGGTTCTCTTTTATACTGTGTTCAATATGAGATCAAGGTCCCTTAAGCTGGTTACTAACGGAACGTGTGATAGGGACAATAACTGCAAAGGCCTCATTGGTGGGGTTGAAGGGCTGCCTTCTCCTGGAGGAGGGCTCTATCAAAAAGCCAGGTCCGCCACTTGCTGGCGTGGGTAGAGTGGTTGCAGCCACGAGGAGAGTTATCGCCATGTATTCTTTGCATGGAAGTCTCTCAAACGTACTAAAGAGAGCACAAGTCGCTGGGACGGAACATACGGACGGTCATTTTACTAGTATATACGGAGCAGCACCAGAACGGACTACTTGCCGCATTCTACTACATCGTCGTTCCTTGAACTCACACTCAAACGCGTTATCCAGCTACGCCAACCCCAAACTCCTACCCAAACCAGCAAAGATATTGAAAGGATGTGACACGTCCCTTCGGCCAAAAACACATCTCATCCCTCCATGACCACCCCAAGTTCGGAATAATCTTGACCTGTACATCAACATTACTTCTCTTCTTCCTGCTCTTCTCAACAAAGTCTTCAGCCCAATTCTGAGCCGCGTCCCTCAAAGCAGTCCAAGTCAGACTCTTATTCGGCTTCACATCGCTGTCCTTGAGGTCGGCGTAGTAGTACTCATCACCATCAACGCACACCAACTTCATTTTCTGTAGCCCCGTGGAACCTACTATATCCGCAAGGTCCGCCACATCCCCAAACGTCGTTTCATTGACCAAACGCGATGTCCGCTCGCCCTGCGACTCCTCATCCTTCATCTGCTTCTTCAAAAACATACTCCCCGGAACACCAACAGTAAGACTTTTCAGGCCGGAACATCTCTTCACAACATCAACAACACTCCCAGCGCGGTACCACACAGGGCTCAACCGGGGTTCATACGTAGTCTCCCGCACAGTCCCTATCTCGAGGTGCTGGATACAGCTCCATGCGCTGGATGGCATGCCGACTATCCATAGTTCCAGGTTGATTACATCGTTGACGGCGATGGTGGTGTGGCGCAGATATACCTCAGAAGCTTCTTGGTTGATTTGACGGTTTAGGCGTAGGTAGGGTGGGAGGCGCGAGCTGAGGGGCGGTAAAGGGGAGGGGTCGCTGGGTTGGGCGTATTGTAGTTTTGGGGGCAGAGGAGTGAGGAGGTGGGTGTAGATCTCGTCGCGGATTTCGCGGGGGAAGAGGGTGAGGAAGGGGCGGGTGTTGGATGGGTGTTGTGTTTCCATCTTGAGAAGATTCGGGATTGAGTGGTGAGCGGTGGTTCCGAGGTTATCTTTAAAGATGCCCGTATAGATATCCCGTGCTGATGATGACAAGATCTTTGGGCTCGAGTGTTCGGACGCAGTAGAACTATATGGTCATAGCCGTTGTGGCTGTGGGTTGTTGTCAAGTTGGTTCAAAGTGGCGGTGCAGTTACTATCGACCGGTGAGCAGCATTCGGCTGATATTAAGCAGGCACCTGCACAGCGCATCTGTCTCGCACATTTCTTCGTAGATGTTTCGGGAGAAAGACCCGATGGACGGTTGGAAGGAAGGTTCCGTCAACAGTGGCGCCTGCTTGACCCGTA